TAGCGAGCAGAAGTGTGCAGCATGCACTCTAGGCCTGGACCGTGATCTCAATCCCGTCACAGCTGTGTGCCATGCGGTGAATTACTTAACTTCTCCGAGCCTCGTTTTTCTGTGAAACAGAGATGATTCACACCAGTACCGGTCTCCCAGGGCCGCCCCAGGGACTGCGTGAGTTGCACACACCTTCCCCTGCCTTGAGCAGTGCCCAGAACACATAACATATGTGAGCAATTCTACTGGGTATACAGCATCTAGCGCAGTTTCTGGTACCTAAGAGGTGCTTCATAAACGATGGTGTTTTTTTTTTTTTTTTAAGATTTTATGTCTTTATTTGAGAGAGAGAGTGAGCAAAAGAGAAGGAGAATGAGAGCGAGAGAGAGATGGAGCGGAGGGAGAAGCAGACTCCCAGCCCAGCAGGGAGCCCGATGCAGGGCTCCATCCCCGGACTCCAGGATCATGATCTGAGCTGAAGGCAGATGCTTAACCGACTGAGCCCCCCAGGTGCTCCATGATCATTATTTTTATCTCATGTCTTATCAAAATTATCCAATACCTTCAATGCCTCATGGACCTGTGCCAGGATCAGGTAAAGAAGGGAGTATTTGTCAGCTACTGATGCCATCTTGAGGCAGGGGCATTGCTTATAAATTGAGAATAAAGTCTTTTTTTTTTTTTTTGACTACTGAGAAGTCAGGGAATAAGAATTCACTTTCTCTTTTTTTTTTTTCTTAGTATGGCATGTTTTATGGTTTAAAAAATCTGCAGATCTGTCCATTGCTTCTCTTTTCATTCCTAATAAGGTTCTTTTTTTGTCTTCTCTCTTTTTTTTTTTTTGGTATATTTTTTTATTGGAGTTCAATTTGTCAATATATAGTATAACACCCAGTGCTCATCCCAAGTGCCCCCCTCAGTGCCTGTCACCCCATCACCCCATCCACTTTCTTGTCTCTGCAAGAGTTTCCATTTCCGGGGCTGCGTGGCCCTGAGTGAGGGGACGCAAAGCCCTTGGCAGCCCACTCCTCTGAAGCCTGCCCAAGGCTGCCTCTCCTTGGCTGGCCTAGAGAGGGTTAAGCCTTTCTTCCCCTAGAGCCTTGCTTGAAAAGGACCCCGATGTCACCGCAAAAGCTGGATATTTCTTTTGGCCTTACCACCAGCCCATTGTGTAATCTTGGACGCGTTCCCTCCCTGGTCATTAGCTGATCTGATCTTCATAATATCCCATTTAATAAATGGAAAGGCGATAGAAAGAGACCTGCCCCCAAATTACAGAGACAATTAGCCCAAGGATAAACTAGGAACGAGGAAAACGAGATAAGGTGGGAGCTCCCGGGGAGGAGGGGGGGATCTGGACTTCAAGATGATTCAACAGCTCTGCTGGGCAACCCCCCTTCCGGGGTGGTCCCACCTTGACCTTGGTGACTTCCTCTCACCCCATCTGCAGGGCTCCAGCCCCTCCCACCCTGACAGGCTCCTCCCACCCCCACCCCCGGGGGGAAGGGAGATGGTTCTGCTGCTCCTCAGGTGTGATTCCTGGAGCCTGGGCATGACCAGCATCTGGGGCCTGGGATGTGCTGGAGAGTGAAGGACCCAGGAGGCCAGATCTAGGATGGGTGGAGAGTAGGAGCCCAGGAACCTGCTCCCTCCCTTCTCCCTTCCCACCTACTACCCCCTAGTCTCAGGTGCAGTACTTTCTGTGCCTCTTGGGGACCCTTGCTGTGATAGGGCCATACCAAGTAGAGCCCCTGGGGTTCACACCCTCCAGTGTGTTCCCCTACTCGTCCCGCCTGCCTCGCCCTTTCTCTCTCCAGCTTCTTTGGAATCCTTCTCTCTGGTAAAATAATAGCAAGGAAGCTTTTCCTCAGCTTTTGCTCAGTGGGATTCTAAGAGAAAGTAATTTCCCTCTCATTATTATTAATTAGGATAGCTAAAAGGCAAGAGGAAAGAGGAGTCAGAGCAGGACTGAGAGGGAGAGAGGGGGTGCCACTGGCCATAGGTGGGTAGTAAAGAAGCATCCTGAGCATTTCAGCAACTGACAGCAGTGCAGTGGTGGTTCAGTGCACAGACTGGATGGCCGACTGCGGCCAACGGCCCAGGTTTGCATCCCTCTTCGCTTAGTTACAAGCCTGTCACTGGGCAAAGCATTGAACTTTCTGTTTCCTCATCTGGAAAGGGCAGACGACAATGATTCCTCTGTCATGGGGTTTCTGCAAATATCAAGTGTACTGATAATTTCTCAAACGCCTAGCACAGTGTCTGATACATCGTAGGTGTTATTTATTCTCTTGTTAAACATACAAGTCAACGCAGGACTCTCCCTGGACTTTGCCTGTTTGCAGGACTCTGAGGAAGTTAGTGAGCTTCTCTGGGCCACTATTTCTTTAGCAACAAAATGAAAGGTTTGAATTAATAAAGGACTTGACCAGTTCTGAGCCCCTGTTTTCTAAAGAGACCCCTGCCCCCCCAACGCCTCCCCGGGCGCTAATGTGAATCCAGCACCGTTGCGGGTCAGGGATGGTCATAGATCCTATATAAATGGCCTTAAGATTTACATAAACCAGGCCCTAATTAATCTTCACAAGAGGCCTGTGTGGTTGTGGTGAGTTCCCTGTATTTTACAGAAGAGAAAGGGAAGCTCAGAGAGGTTCAGTGACTTGTACAGGGTTGCAGAGTCAGCTATGGGATCAGAGCACAGACTGGAATCTGGTTCACTGGTCGCCCCACGATACAGCCCAGTCCTGGGGACAAGGTATTCCTGCAGACACCCCAGCTCTGGGGCTCAGGATGGGACTGCGGGGCTGGATGCATCCCTGGCAACTTATAGGGGGTCCTCCTGAGGGCTTGGTGGCTCCCGGATTGTAGGGCGGCAGCTGCCCAGGTGTCTGGGCCGCTGTGGGAGGGCTGGATGCCGTGACACCTAGGCTCCCAGAGGAAACGAGCACATCTGGATGGGAGCTCCCGTATTTGCTTGGCTGTCTGCTAGGCCACAGTGGATTGGGCACGTGGTGGGTGCCCAGCAGACATTTGCATGCAGCCACCTCAACTTCCCCAGAAAATTCTGGATACATGCGTGTTCAGTCTGGGTTTTTTTTATATATATATTTTTTATTTATTTATGCTGGAGAGACACAGAGAGAGGCAGAGACATAGGGCAGAGGGAGAAGCAGGCTCCCTGCAGAGAGACGGATGCAGGACTTGATCCCAGGACCCTGGGATCACGCTGTGAACCAAAGGCAGATGCTCAACTGCTGAGCCACCCAGGTGTCCCTAGTCTGGGTTTTTAAAATTCTTTCTCGAGACATTGCCAGTCACCTGACCATAAAACACTTCACACCATATTAAACCATCACATAAATGAACAAGGTAAGATTTCTTTTGTCGCCTTCCTAGAAGAACGGAAGTGGGAGAAACTCAGAGCCTCTGCCGTCCTCTGTGGGTTCCCGGTGGAGTGGGGGAGGGGGGGTGGCAGTCAGGCTGGGACATAATCAGGGTGTCAGGTGGCAGGGGGGGTGAGGATGCGAGCCAGGCACCCATGCACCCTCTCCCTGCCCGGGGTCTCGTTTCTACAGAAGTCCCAATATTCTTCCTTTAGTCCGAGCTAACAGCATTTCCTGTAAGTTTATTTGGACGTTGTCACCCTGTCCCCAGAGAGTGGCACTGACATGTGTTCTTTCTGTCCTGGTATCACAGGACCAGACTCGTTGCTCATGTGTATTGGAATGACATCATTTTGACACCCAACCCTGGCACCTACAGATTCCGAGGAATGCATTTCTGCTTCCTGGGGAAGCTCAGATGGCCTCTTATGGGACGGCGACAACCCCACTGTTCGGTGGAGATCGCTTCGTTTAAGGGCATAGTCTTGGATCCAGAGGGATGCAGATAGAAAGAGGATAGGTTTATTGTTCTGTTTAATTCAGACGCCTGGGTGGCTCAAGGGTTAAGCATCTGCCTTCAGCTCAGGGTGTGATCCTGGGGTCCTGGGGTCAAGTCCCACATCAGGCTGCCTGCATGGAGCCTGCTTCTCCCTCTGCCTGTGTCTCTGCCTCTCTCTGTGTCTCTCATAAATAAATAAATAAATAAATACATAAATAAATAAATACATAAATAAATAAATACATAAATAAATAAAATGCACAAAGTGAACTAGGGCCCCCTCTCCCGCCCAACAACCAACTTCCAGCTGGGATTACACCGTAATAGCCAGGCACTGGAGAGGGGGCATCCGAGAAGGAGAGCGTGGTCTGGGGAAGACCACATTTAGTAAATGTTCAAGTTTACAAGCTCTGGGTCAGTGACTAGGCGAGGGGAGCACAGAACGATGGAGTGACATGCACCCGGTCTGCAAGAAGACACAGGCCTGTTGAGTGCCAGAGTGAGGTTATGTGTAAGGTACCCTGGACACTAGGGGAAGGGGTTCAAGAACACGCCTGGGAGAGCCAGGGGCCGTGTCAGGGCCGACAGCGCGCCACCTGAGGCTGCAGGCCAAGCAGTCAGCGCCGGCTGGACAAGATGCCAGGAAGCAGTAGGCAAAAATGCGGAGGCAAGAGAGAGCATAAGATACACAGGACACAACAGGGCTCTGGTACGTAGGAAACAAATTACGGCGAGGAGGGAAGAAGGAGCAGGACCGGGGACAGACAGGCAGCCACGGGCAGTGCAGGAGATCTGCGTGCCCTGCCGATGAGGTGTCACATCTTGCAGATGACGGAGGAGATCACACAACAGCACAGTGAATGGGTCAGTGGGGTGTCCAGGTAGTCCTGACCCCATGGTGGTGTTGGTGTTCTCCTCCTTCCCTCCTCCTCCTCCTCCCTTCTCCTCCTCCCTCTCTCTCCTCCTCCTCCTCCCCCTTTCTGCTCTTCCCTCTCCCTTTCTTCCTCTCCTGCTCCTCTCTCCTCCTCCTCCCCTACTCCTATTCCTCCCTTCTCCTCCTCCTCTCCACTCTTCCTCCCCCCCTCTCCTCCTCCCCCTCCTGTCCTTCCTCCTCCTCTTCCCTGCTCCTCGCCCTTTCTCCTTTCTCAATGGACCCATACCGAATATAGTATAAAATCATGAGTTTATTCCTTTGTCTTACCAAGAAGAGCCTCTCGTAAACATCACAGACCTTGTTTGCACACCTGTCCAGAGTTTGAGGTCATTACTCAGCACATAACCCTTAGGGCCAGCACTGCAGGTGTAACCTGAGAAAAAACACCAGAGCACACAGATCGAGGAGCCCTTGATGTGACTGGAGCTGGTGGATCTCAAGCTGTGTCCACGATCACGGAGGGGATCTTAAAGCTGCTGTAGCAGGTAAAGGAGGTCCAAGGGCGGGCCCCCTTCCCCTGCACTGAGGATATATTTATTTTTTATACCAGGGTTGTCTCCACCGGAAAATGTTGCTTGTCAGGAACAGAAACAGTCCACAGTTAAAAAGTAAGGAGGACAAAAGGCATTCGGTGGAAAAGAATGGGTTCCTTCTACGAAAATGCAAGGAAAGCTCAACAACTAGCTACTACTACTAATAATAAACATGTATTGAGTATCTACTGTCTCTCACTATTCAAGAACTTTATGCTTATTAACGTACTTAATCTTTATAAAAATACTAAATACTAAAGTGGACACTATTATGGTGCTGATTTTATAGCTCAGAAAACTGAGATTCAGCGAGGTTACATAACAAACCCAAGGTCACACAGCTAGGTAGCATCGGAGCCTTGATGTGAACACACACAATCTGGTTTCTGAATCAATGTTTTTTACCACTATACTGAAAAGCCAGAAGCAGGAAGGTAAGGTCTAGTGCAGTGCTCTAGGGGGAAAGGAATAAAGAATGGTCGCTTCAGGAAGTGGCCTGCATGGTGGGCCCCAGGGTGGGACCCCTGCCACCTTGTAAGTGAGGAGGCAGGGGTCCCGCGGCTGGGAGTCTCCTCAAACTACTTGGAATGGGGAAGAGCCATTTCTCAAAGCAAAGGCGGATGGGGGTTCCGCACAAGATTCACTGTGAAGCAATAAATAAACAGAAAAGGGTTCCACTACAAGAGGGGGGAAAAAAAGTATCCCCAGAGTCCTCTTATTTTGTATATGGATAAGTAAAAATAGGGAAAAAGCTAAGGTTGGCATTGTGAGGTTTTTTTTAATTTATTTTATTTTATTTTTTTAATTTATGATAGTCACAGAGAGAGAGAGAGAGGCAGAGACACAGGCAGAGGGAGAAGCAGGCTCCATGCACTGGGAGCCCGACGTGGGATTCGATCCCGGATCTCCAGGATCGCGCCCTGGGCCAAAGGCAGGCGCCAAACCGCTGCGCCACCCAGGGATCCCGTGAGTTTTTATTTTTATATTATTTTTGTTGTGAGGCTTTTGCACATTGAAAAATGTTTTAATACGAAAATCATTAAAAAAAAAATCTACTTGTGGGGCGCCTGGCTGGCTCAGTCAGAAGAATATGTGGCTCTGGATCTTGAGGTCATGAGTTCCAGCCCCATTCTGGGTGTAGGGATTACTTAAATAAATAAACTTAAAAAAAAAACAAAAAACAAAAAAAAAAACACTTTTCCTGAGGTCTCTGAATTCAACTTACAAATCTCTTTTAACTTAGACTATAGTTTAGCAATTACTTTCAAGGAGTCTCTTGTTCAGTGTTTAAAGGACCCTAAATAACTTCAAACAACTGGTCCAGCTAACAGCTGGATTCATTAAATCCCCTCCCCTGTTTAAATGGCTGTGACAAAAGGTGTTTAAAATACCGACTGACACGATCACTCAACTTACAACTAAGTTTGAAGACTTGTGGGTTCTTCTAAACAATCAAATGTGGTTAACTCTCTCATTTTTTTTTTTTTTAGTCTTTTCCAATGAAAATTCACAAGTCTGGATTACACCACCGCTCAGTGACGTTTCAAATGGGCATTATCAGGCTAATCGGACGCTATCAAAACATTTTCCTTTTCTTTTTATTACACCACATACTTCAAATACCAAACATATGCCGACTTCCCCACCAACGTTACTTTTGGGATTTACTTTCCCTCCAGTCGGTAAAACCCATTCTAAACTTTGCCTGCTGGGTGGAGAGGGGTCAGGTTAGGAGAATAAACAAGTTATTTCAACTTCACAAGCAAGTACCGACCTAACCTCACGAACTTATCGACCAGAGATTTCTGGCCAGAACACAAGGTCTGAGGGGCAAGGACAATTTTTTTTTACCTTCAAGACAGTTGGCGCTGATTCAGGCTTTTTCTAGTTACCATGGCAACACGCAGCTCCAAGGCCACACTGTGCACCTGGGATCAGCTTCTGCACTCCTGCCTCTGCATCTAGGCCCAGTGATCTAACCCCTTCTTAACCTGGCAGCAGGGATTGCTACTTGCCCCCAGATACCCATTTTCCACAGCACGTATTCCTGGGATAAGGACTACCCTTACCAGTGTCCCTTGCAGCTAGGTGGCTGGGAGTGGCCTTGGGAATGAGATGTAAGAGGAAGTGGTGTGGGCAAATCTCTAGGAGAATGTCCTTAAAGGTAAAGGGCATGTTCTTATCTCCTTCTGAATGACTGGGATGAAGAGTTGATGGCTGGAGCCCAAGCAGCCAACCCAGACCAGGGAGTCACTTGGGGATGGATGGTGCACCCTACTGTAAAACAACTGGCTGGATGGAGCCTGGGTCCCTAACCCTGTAGAATGCCACGCCAACCTCGTGTACCAGGACTCAGAGAAAGGAAAGATTAGCTCCTGCCTGATTAAGCCAGTGCGATGTTGGGTTTTCTGCTGTCAAATCTCATCCTAACTGCTACCGACACTACCGCCTGACTTACATAGGTGAAATCCCAAATTCTTCCCCTGACAACAGGATTCTTTGCCAGTCAGCTATTTTGCGGACTGATGCAATTTCGCCTTCTTCCGTGTCTGGTCATAGACGACAGTCCTAAGGCACCCCGACGACTTACAGGATTTTGCCTAACTGACACCCCAAATCAGTAGCAGATGTCATATCTCTTAAAACTGAGGCTAGAGCTCCCAACACGACATCGAGGTAGATTCAGCTGACTCCAGAATCATTAAAGGCAGATCATTAAATGAAAGCATCTAACATTAATTCATATTTTATGAGTCTGCAGTTCAAAATATATAGCTTAACACCAGAATGTCTAGTAAATCAATACACACGAAAACAGTAATAGCTTACTGTGCGCTTACTACATGCATGGCTTTGTGAGCCACTGTCTTTAACCTTTCCAACATCCTAGTGGGTGAAGTGTGTCTTTATCCTAATTTTAGATGTAAGGAAGCCGCAGCCACAGGTTCAGCCCAAGCTCAGACGTGCAGCCGCACCCCGCAAACAGCACAAAGTGTTAGAGGTACTCCTGCCTGTGTGCGGTCTCCCCACGGTTTTAAGCTTTTTTTTTTTTTTTAAGATTTTTATTTATTTATTCATGAGAGACACAGAGACAGAGACAGAGAGAGGCAGAGACATAGGCAGAGGGAGAAACAGGTTCCATGCATGGAGCCTGACGTGGGACTCGATCCCAGGTCTCCAGGATCAGGCCCTGGGCTGAAGGCGGTGCTAAACTGGTTGAGCCACCCGGGCTGTCCTCCTCATGATTTTAATGATCAACAGAGAAGAAAATAAAAAGATGCTTGCAGGTTCCATCTCAAGGGATGTTAGCCTATTCAAGTAAAAAAAAAAAAAAAAGAAAAAAGAAAGAAATTATTTCAGGGTTTCTTTGCCATTTCTCAGCACCATATAAGGCTGTCATCTTTATTCCTTTTAAATATGGAAACCTTCTAACCCTATCCCGAATTTGGATATAGGCTTGGTTTCTGCTGAGCAAAAGTAACTTGTTCTTCTTTGTGTGGGGGGGTTGGGGGTGAGGAGGGGAGGGGCGGAGGCAATTGGAAAATTGTAAGACCAGCACCATGGGCACGTAGTTTCAAAAAGAGGCAATTATAAGGCTTTCTTTCCTCAGAAAGATGCCCTTGGCCTGGCGGAGCCCTGATATTTGGCAACTCCCACACGGAGTACTTTTCCATTCTCATCTATAAAACATTTGCAAGAATGTCGACAAGTATACCATGCATAAGAAAGATACTTAAATTAATAATGGCCATCATTTATTGAATGCATACTAAGTACCTGGCACTGAGCTAATAACTTTTCATATGTAATCTTTCCCCCTTAAAACGACTCTGAGAGGTAGGTACCATCGGCCCATTCTGCAGACAAAACCTGGAAAGGGGACGCCTGGGAGGATCAGTGGTTGAGTGTCTACCTTTGGCTCAGGGCCTGATCCATGGAGCCTGCTTCTCCTCCCTCTGCCTGTGTCTCTGCCTCTTTCTGTGTCTCTCATGAATAAATAAATAAAATCTTTATTTTAAAAAACAAAACAAAACAAAACCTGGAAGGCTCAGAAAGTGTAAGTCATGGGCAGGCACACGGGTCCGGAGCCCCAGGCCTCCCTCCAGCAAGCAGGTGGGGTTGCCCTTGGACTTCGCCACCTGTGCTCTTTCCTTTAATTCCCCAGGTGAAGGCGCTGGTTCTTAAATGTCAGAAAACCATGATACAGACCATCTTCCATCCCTAAAGAGCCCGCAATTTCTTTTCAAGAAGCAGTGTTAACCTTGGGCTCCTTGACATATCTCAAATGCAGCAATTGCATTCTGCTTGTTTCGACTTTCCTCGGAAGCGAAATCCTTGGAAGACATCATAGAGTGAAAGGCTTCGGTTGCAAGGACCCTTAAGATTATCTAAGCCCGTGGTTTCCATCCTGGGAACACTCTGTCCAAACGGCAACCCAAGTGGAAGCGCACGCACAATTGAAGCCGTCTTTGTCAGCTCCCTCTCTCACCCCTTCGTGTGGTTCTCTTTGCAAGTAACTTCCATAATGATAATTAATCATGGATACTAGAATATCTCCAGGATCCACGCACTCAATACATACTTGCCAAGTGGATTAATGGACATGGGTACCCATGTGCAATCCCCTCGGGTCTGACGGAGCAGTTTGAAAACCTTGCTCTAACTCAACCTCCTCAAAACAAGAAAGCAGAGGTCAGAAAAAGGACACTCACAGCCACTGACAAGTCAGGTGGCTACACAGTGGCAGAGCCAGGCCTTGGGGTTAGAACACCTTATCAGAGAGACTTTGTCCATGGCCCTGTTGGGATTTATGGTTGAAAGGCCGAGTAGGATGTGTCCACCCAGCCCCTGCAGCTGTGTTACAAAAGGAACTTGTTCAAAACCGCAGAGTCCTGGACCCTGATGCGGGGCTAGTGAACTGTGACTCCCTTGGCAGTGGGATGCAGGACTCTGTGCTTAGAATAAGCCTCCTGGAGTCATCCTTGCACACGCTGAAGTTGGAGAAGTGGACTCTCCAAGGGTTCCTAGTCTGGCCCCAGGAGGTAACTGGCGACGTAGCTGTGTTCCTTCTCCTGCTTGGGGCCAGAATGAAGAGCCACAGGCCTACCTGGCAGGCTATGTAGGTCACGTTCTTGACTGATTTCCTCTATAACCATTTACTGACAATTACCATGTCCTCAGGGTTCCAACCTTGTCCCTCTTCATTTTCCATGACATCCTCATGTAGGGACGCCTGGGTGGCTCAGCAGTTGAGCGTCTGCCTTTGGCTCAGGGCGCGATCTGGGGGTCCCAGGATCGACTTCTGCCTCGGGCTCCCCGTGGGGAGCCTGCTCCTCCCTCTGTCTCTGCCTCTCTCTCTCTGCTTCTTTCATGAATGCATAAATAAAATCTTAAAAAAAAAAAAATCCCCATGTGATCTCACTCACGCTTGGTCTCCACCACCACGCTTTCCTGGGAATCTAGTCCTGTAGCCCAGTCCTAAACACACAACTACCTGTGGCCTGACACTCTTCGGTCACTCCATCCACTCCCTTGTCTGGACTGGCTTGTGAGTGCTCGCAGAATAGAACATGAGGACGACGCTACATTACTTTAGGAGCCAGGTCATGAAGGGCATGTGGCTTCCACTTGGTCCTCCTGGGTGGGATGCTCTGTCTCAAAATCCAGCCTCTGCCTCAAGCAGCCTAAGCCACCTGGACATGCTCCGGTGGACAGAGCCCGGGGAGTGTAGTCTTCAAGTCAACCCATCCCCATCCCTACACCTAGGAGGGAAGAAGCCTCATAGGACCCCAGCCTCGGCCACTGAACTTAACTGCAGCTTCCCTGACATGTAGGCTAGAAGATAAGCCCACCCTGGGAGGTTCTATCCAAATTCCTGAGCCCCAGAATCCTTGATCAAATGCAACAGCTACTGTCTCATGCCTCTCGTTTTTGGGGATTAAAAAAAATATATGCTTATTTATTTGAGAGAGAGAAAGCGAAAGAGAACACAAGTAAGGGGGAGGGGCAGAGGGTGAATGGGAAGCAGACTCCCCACCGAGCAGGGAGCCCAATCCCAGGACCCCAGGATCATGACCTGAGCCTAAGGCAGATGCTTAACCAACTGGACCACCCAGGTGCCCCTGGGACCCCTGGGACCCCTGGGACCCCTGGGGGATGTATTGTTATGCAAGGATCAGGAACTAGAACAAACTGCAACCAAATGTCCCACAAAAAAAAAAAAAAAAAAGTGAAATGTGATGTGGGCCAACGGTACTTTCTCCTTCCTGAGGTTCTGTGTTTGGAGATGGCCACCATCCACCCAGCGTTCGTTGCCATCACCCTGGGGTTCCACGTAAAACAAATCTCACTTTGGTACCTTCAAGAAAGAGGGCTGAGTATTGCCACATGTCTCGTCCCACAAAGCCAGGGATCCAAGGGGAAGATGCTGACAAGTGCTGAATCCACTGCTCAGCGCTGCCTTCGGGGATCCGAGATTTTTCTAGCTTTTAACCCAATCGTGCCAACGCTTGTCTTGCCATGAGAGATGGCTGTTGCCTCTTCAGATGCCTCGTGCCCATCCGGGTGTGTCTGTGGGTGTTAAATTTGTAGCTCTGGGCGAGGAAGAAGGAGGAGATGGGGATCGGGGTGTTCCCCTCCTCTCACCACCCCTGACACACGTGGGTGGGTTCTGCTGGTTTCCTCTCCTCTGAAATGCATCTGCCTCTGCCCAGGCTTCTGCGCCTTCCTCAGGTCAGACCCCTGACACCTGGATTATTGTTACGATCACTGCCTCCAGTCTGGACACCCCCCACCCACCGCCGCCTCACAAGGCTGCCTGAGTGGCCTGGCCAGCATGCGAGGGTCCACATGCCCCCCCATCGCCTCTGCTCAAATGTGAAGTCCCCGAGCTCCTAACGGCTCTCAGGGTGAAGCCCAGACTTGCTAGGCTGTGGGTGAACTGGATGAGCTCATGCGTCCTGCACACACCGCACATGCCCCCCTGCTCTCACCTAGCTCATCCTGAGATCCCGGGCCACCTGTCCCCAGGAGCTACCCTGTGGTGGAGGAGGTCATCAAGAGGACGTGACCTCCAGCTGAAAGGAGAGCTGGCCCGGGGCAGGTGGAGGATCTTCACCCCCTCCCTTGTCCTTGGAATACACACACCACCTCTCCCGCACACTGTTCCCCCAGTGGGAGCCGTTTTCAGGGACACAGCCTTGAAAAAGCCAGGGGTCGCTGAGACCTCCTGGACAGTGTATAGGACGGGACCTCATTAAGGCCTCTCTATAAACTTTTAACAGTCTAGAAGGCAGGTTCAGAGATCTACTCATCTTGAGGCACCCAAGATAAGACTTCTAAGTTCTCTTGCTTATTAAACCTGCCACTCACCATCTCTTTTGTCTGTCTCTCCCTGTCTTCTGTGAGTTGGGCCAGTTTTGGATTTTACCCCAAATGCTCCTGAGCCTGCAAACCAACACCTCTAAGTGCCCAGCTGCTGGCCTATCACAACACTGCCCCAGTGTGCTGAAACTACTGGGACTTCAGTCCCCACTGCCAACCTGTGGGCTCCTGGAGGGTGGGGACTGTGTTGTGTCCACCTCCATGACCCCAGTACTTAGCACAGTGTCTGGTGGATCAGGGTCGGCCCTAAGTATCCAATGACTGTTGTTCTGGGCAGAGGAGGAGAACACACACAGACACGTATACACACACACACAGCCACGTGAAGAAGCAGCAGAGACCCAAGGGATCCTCTACAAGCCGAAGAAGGCCAAGGACTGCCAGGAACCACCAGAGGCTGGGAGAGAGGTACAGGATGGATCCTCTCTCAGGGCTCCCCAAGGGAGCTAAACCTGGTGGCACCGTGATTTCAGACTTCTGGCCTCCTGCATTGCAGAAAAATGAATTTCTGTTGTTTTGAGGGGCCACCCAGTTTGTGGTGATTTGTTACAGCAGCACCAGGAAGTGAACACATCCAGGAGGGCTGGATCCAAGGACAAAAGCTTAGGAGCAATAGTCGTCCTTTATGGGTCCATCCTGCAGCCTAGAACAGCAAAGGCTCTGCGGAAACAGTGAGGACTGCTAGGAATCAGAGTTCTTGCACGCCAGGCCTCACACGAGATCTCAAGATCTTTATTTACTGCAGGGGTTGGGGAGCCCCATGATGGCTGTTAGTGACATCTTCACCAGCCCAGGAAGATGGAGACCCATATTGATTCCAAGGACATAACAACATGTCATTTAACCAGAGCTTCTGGACTGAATCGTATCTGGTACACAGGGCTCATTAAGAGAAATAATGGGAGAAAATGAAGGAGAAATCCACGTTGGGACCACATCAAGGAGGACCTCCATTGCTAGGCTCAGAAGTTTGGATTTGTATCCTTAGACAATGGGAACCACTGATGTTTTAAGGATTTTGAGCTTGGGAATGCCTTGCAGCTTTGGAAAAAAACTAATCTGGCTATAGGTCTATCAGTTACTTGCATCTGGTAGCAAGTAACAGCACCATGACCTAACGTGGCTTAAACAAAAGAACTGCACTGATGAATACAACAGAAAGTCTAGAATTAAGCTTTCAGGGATGGTGTGATCAAGGCTCTGGGTCTTCTAAGCTTCAATTTGGCTCCCCTCATGGGCATAAGATGTCTTTCAGAGGGAACTGAGTAACTGAGATCAAAATACTTTCATGTTCATGTACAGTTGGAAATAAAGAGAAGCTTCCCAGGACTCTTGAGGCCTCCTTTCCTAGAAGACACAAGTATCTTTCTCTCTTTACCTTGTTGACCCAAACAGAGATTAAATCTACAGTTTCCCGAGCCAAAATCTGGCAAAGAGATTAGGATGGTCATGATTGGACAAGATTAAGCATCTGCCTTCACATGGATACTGGGTGTAACATATGTTAGTGTAGAGTGTGTGATTCTGTGTTAGGTCTGCTGGCTCAAAGGCCCCGAAGACTCCCAGGGTTGGAAGGGGGTTGAAGGGTCATGCATCCTGCATTCCCTGTGATGCAAAGTGTACAGCTCTCCTTCCACATGTTCACTCTTGAGGTGGGTACATGCTGCCCGGGCAGCCCATTCACGGTTGGATTGCTGACCCGTGACCCAGCGAGGCCTGCCAATCCGATTCCTCTTTCTGGAAAAACTAAAACCCAGAATAGAGGAGTAGTGGAAAGTGAAACTGGAGGGAGTGTTTTGACAGTTGTCATGACATAGAAGGGCCAAGGCCACAAACACCAGGAAAATCAGACGGCAGCCCCCAGGACTTAACAGAAGAAGACTGTGGGCAGGGAGAGAACAGAGCAGAGACGGGTCAAGAGGAGGGAGAGGAAGGGCGGGCTTCTCTCTCAGGGAAGGAGAGACACGGGGCTGGAGCCAGAGCCAGAAAGACTGGCTGTCTCTCTGCTTCCAGCTTCTGTCATTACATCCCTCGGTTACTTCTTTTTCTCTAGGGAAAGCCGGGTCCCCCAAACCATGGTAAGTAAAGCACTGCTCCAAACCAACTGCCACACGCGCAGCAGCTCTGAACTCCCCCCTGACGAGCCAGGCAGCCTTTTCTGCCCGATCACCCAGATGGCATCAGGGCCCATTAGGCTCCTTCCATTCTGTTGTGTGAAGAAAGGGGGTGGTGGGAGGACGAAATCAATTACCTTCACCATTATTACCCAGAGCTTTGCAGTAGCTCTGAACAAGTGGGGGTGGGGGTGGGGGTGGGGGTGTGAGCATTAAATCAATGTCAGGGCTCCTTGGGGGGATTTACTGCGCAGACACTCCCAGTGATGACTATGGCTGCTATTCCTGGGCAGGGCACGCTGCCGGGAGACACACTCAGGGTGACAATGAGGGATGCCCTCACACACACCCCTGACACACAGCCCCGGATGTGGGCTCCTGGGAAAGGTCCAGGGGCCTCAGAATTGCTATCTCTGAGGCATATCACAACACTAGAACAAACAGGAGCGAGGGGTGGGGGTGGGGTGGCGGGTGGGAGAGGTCCTCTCTGTTACCTGGTAAGAAATACACTGAAACAAAAAGTATGTGGGCCAGAAAAGGCCTTGCCAGGTTAACCCAGCGAGACTAGGGAAAGGTGCATCTGATGCACATCTTTTTATAGATAAGGTGATGATTTATGCATGTTTCACCATAGAGTCACTTAATTAGGAATTCCCATCTCACTGTGGAGTCACCTGGGGGAACTGCCAAGAACCCGAGGCTGAAATTAAGAGCTGACTTTGGTTCTTGGCTGCAAAGTGGAACAAACAGCTGGATGATCGGGGGCCACTTACTTGCCCAGTCTGGTCTTCTCTCCAGGCTCTGCTAGGATAGGACGGTACAGTTCTAATCCCTAAGTAGTCTATTTTCTAGTGGTGCATTCTCTCACTCTCCCCTCCTCTTTTCCAGTCTGCTCCTTCTCTACCTCTCTATGCTCTGAAAAGCTCCCGTTTCCTCTCCCAAGGCTGCCAGGTCTCCTGGACCAGCCTTTACCCATTCCCTGGGGCAGGCCACCTCCTTTCTGCAGGTGGAGGCCCATCATCTAAACAGGACTTTCACTGGGCACTTCCTATATGACCAGCATAGTTTTAAGGGTTCAACATGTACGAATATACTTGATTATTCCAAAACTCGATGGGTTAGACAGTTATTAGGCTCATTTTCACGGAAGAGGAAACCGAGGCACGGGGCTACCTAAGCCTGGATTCTCTAACCAGCCTAAGGTCACACATCCAATGAGGGCAAGGCAGGATCCGAAGCAGGAAGTCCCATCCAGCGGGCTCTGGTCTGGAGCACACACCACAGCCTCCCTCTAATGAACGATGTGCTAGGGAGCTATCCCCTTTTCCACTGCAAAAGGCTGACCTCTCCAAGGGTGGAAGCTAGACGAAATACATGCCCCCTAGGCCACACTGTGCCTCCTTCTTCTTAGCATCAGCTCAAAGAAGTTTCAAAAGAGGGTGCAGTCCCCGCAAGGGGATAAGAGCTGTACAGTCACGTTTTGTTAATGCCTCTTAAGCCTTGTGTCCAGCATTTTAGCCTCCAAGACTGGCATTCTGTCTTCCATGCCCTCACTTCCCCATAACGGAGAAAGGGCAACCTTCCTCCCCCTCCCCCGCAAACCTGAGCCCCAAAGGGAGCCGGTCCCCGAGGCCCCCCGCCCCAGGCCGCCCTGGACGCGGGCCCTGCGTGGAGTCCCGCTGCCTGGCGCTGGCCCTGCTCGGCACCGCGGCGCAGCCTCCGCATCTGGGAGGAAAAGAACAGGCGGCGGGCAGGCGACCCAGGGCGGGGGCCGGCCGCGGTGGCCGCTGTGCGGCTCGGGCCTCCCGGGGCCCCGGCCCCGCCCGGCCCCGGCCCGCCCCGCCGCGCTCCTCCCCGCCTCCTCCTCCCCGAGTCCCACCTCGAGTCCCGCGCCCTTAGGAGGAGGTCGATGGCTTTGCCCGGTCACCGGCCGGGATCGGCCCCTTCTCGCTGCGGCGCGCGCCCATCTCGGGCTCTTCGGGGCATCCCCGCGGCTTCTCGGGGTGGGGACGGGGGGGGGCGCCGGTCGCCTCCCCCCCCGGGGCGGACCCCACGAGTGCCCCCGCGGCCCTGCTCCGGTCCTGCGGGCTCGTGGGCGGCGATCCGGTCCCCGCGGCGCCTCTCGCGGCTCCCGGGCTCGGCCTCCCGGGCACGTGGCTCCGGAGCTCGCAGGAAGCCCCGAGCGAGCGGAAAGCCGAGCCGGGAGCGGGCGGCGGGGGCGCGGGGGGCGCGGGGTGGGGAGCGCGCGCGCGGGGGGCGGGCGCTGGGCGGAGGAAGGGGAGGGCCGCGCGCCGCCGAGGCGCCCGCCCCGCTCCGGCTCCGGCTCCGGCTCCGGCGCGCCCCGCTCCGGGCCCCGGCCGGCCAGGGAAGCGGCCCCTCCCGTTACACCCGGGGGAAGGTGTTCCCGAGGCCGCTCCCATCCTCACCCCGCCTCCCCGCCTCCCCGGCCCCAGCCTCCGCCGGCGGAGCTCCACTATGCCAGACAGTTTCGACACTTTGCAAAGACAAAGACCAGAGGGAGGAGGTAGGGGAGGACGAGGAGGGGGGGGGAGGAGGACGGAGCGATGTGAGCCGGGAAGGGGGCGAGTGTTCGGGACCCCCCTGCGTTCTCCTCGGAGCCGCCCCCCTGCCGGTCCCCGAGCCGCGGAAACTCCAGCGTGTCTCCAGCTGCGGTGAGCGAGCGCGCCGCCCGGGTGCGCGGAGTTGGGGCTCGGGCAGTTTGCGAGTGTGTCCTCCGAGCCGAGCGGGGACCTGCCCGCGGCCGGGGGCGGAAGCGGTCGGGAGGGGTCTAGGCACGTGTGACGGCGCCAGGGGGACCAAAGCCCTCCTCCCCGGGCGGGCGCCTGCACGAAGACACCCGTGGGAGACCCCCTGCCCCTGCCCCGGCCCCGGCCCGGCCCCGGCGTCACCCGGGTCGCCGGGAGAGGGCGGAGGTGCAGGGGGAGGCCGTGATCCCAAGAGCCCGCGGCGGGTCCGGGGCAGCGGTCCCCGGAGTGGCCCCAGTGACATTGCACCGGCGCCAGGCTGGAGCCTCCCGGGTCGGGGCCGCCAGAGGGCGAAGCGGCCGGCGGGGCCGCGGTAGGAGGGGTCCCCGCTCCGGGCGGCTGGCTGGGGCGCGAGGGCGCGGGGGGCGCGAGGGGCGCGGGGGGCGCGGGGGCGCGCGCCCGGGCTGCCCGCGATCCGGTCGCGGCGGCGGCGGCGGCGGGACGGGGTTGCCTCGAGCCTCCTCCAGCCCCAGCGAGCGCGAGGAGCACCTCCGGGAGGTGGCGGGCGCCCCCGGGGACGGTGCAGAAGTTGGCGCCCGGGACGTGGCGCGGTGGGCAGGGAGGGATGGGGCGGGCGCCGGGAGCGCGGCGGGGGTGGCGGAACCCCGGAGCCCGCCCCAAGCCCGTTAGGCGCCGCCGCCGCCGCCGCCGCCGCAGCGAAGCATCTGACAAAAGTTAGCAACTTGTCCGCGTTGCCGGGGCGTGTGACCCGCGCGGGGCACGGGCCGCTCCCTGGGGGGGCGCATTGGCGGCGGGCGGCGACCCCGGGCCGCGCGCGCGCAGGGGGCCGCGGCGGCGTTCGGAATCGGGACCGTGGCGCAACTTTGAGCTCCTCCTTTCGCTGAGCGTGAGTGTGTTTGAGCGTGACCTTGCGGGAGGAAGCGCGGCTCAACTTGAGATGGGGGTTGAGGCTGCGCCGGGGCTGGCTTCTCCATGCCCCGCGCGGCCCGCCGTCCCGGAGGGGTGCAGGGAGGGGTGCAGGGAGGGGTGCAGGGCGTCTGCAGCGTCGCCGGGGTCGCTCCGCGGCTGGAGCCCCGGGTCCCACCAGCCGGCCATCGCGGGACTCGCCGGGGGTGCTCGGCGGGTGGACACGTGCGCGCCCCAAAGTGCGCGAGCCGTGGGGGCTGGGCGGGTCACTGCGTCTCCGGGGCGCGCGGGGAGGGGGGGGGCTGCGTGTCCCGCAGCGGGAGACGGCCTCGGGGCGCAGGAGGGCTCCAGACGTCCCGCCCGGCGTTCACGTGCCCACCTCCAGGAGGGGCTCCTCGCCCCGCGGATTTGGACCCAGATGGTCCCCCAGGGGGACACAGCGAGCGCGCCCCCCCCGCTCTGAGGCTGAGTGTGTGTGCTGGGGACCGGTGCGGGGTGGGGTGAGCGCGGGGAGATCGAGATGCGCCGGGAGCGACCTTGTCCCCGAGCCTAACACACAGTAGGGGAAAAAGGCTGTTTGCAAAGCCCCCCCCCCCCCCCCCCGGTGTCAATGCGCTGGCGGGGCCGGGGAGGCCCCTTCCCTCCCCCTCCTCCTCCCCATTTCCACTACACGATCCGCGTTCATCCACCCAGTCCGGCCCTTTAGGCTCCCGGCCGTGCCTTGAGCACCTACTACGTGCCGGGTTCGAAGCTGAGCTGTTCTTAGAAGCCGAGGGCGGAGCCGCCTGGTGTTCTTTCCCCGGAGCTGCGTAAGGGCGCGCGGGACACTCGCAAAAGGCAAGGTGCACTGCCCCCTGCCGGCAGCGCTGGAACCTGCCGCCCGGCCCCGAGGTGGGGAAGGGGCTCGGGCCACAGGGGTGGGGGTGGGGGTGGGGTGGGGGGTGGGGCGGCTCCCTCAAGGTGCCCCCTGCAGCTCCCCTTCCTGCCCCAAACACCCTGGCGCGGCCGGTTTCTGAAATCCCGTGGTTGGCTGAAAAGACCCATTGGAGTTCACCATTCCCGCCTCCCCCGTGCTCGCCCAGGTCCCGGTCTTCCATCCTCTACCTCTGTGAGGTTCAGGCGTGAGCCTTGAACTCCCCGAATCTCAGTTTCCCTATCTGTGAAATGGGGTCATGACTGTTCCCTTACAGATGTGCTGCGCGGAGCGTCACGTATCATTGTGCGAATGTGCGTGCATGTGGGGATATAGGCGTTCACCTGTGACCACCTGTGACTTCGGATCCGGGAGAAGGAATCTTTAAAGAAAAATATTTTTGCGGAATAGATAAATAACAGAAAGGGGAGGGGGCTCCTTCCTCTTCCGCCTTTGAATAACCCCGCAAGCCAGGGAATGTGCGGCCCGTGCATGTTCTGCTACCCCAGTGTTTGCTGTCCAGGCTGTAGGGTGGGGACACGGCCAGGGTCTGGGCAGAAGCAGGGTCTTCCCCTCACCTCCTGGGGTTAGCAGGCCCCAGGCCTCCTCTTGAACGCTCCCCTGAGAACAAAAACAGGAAGTGTTGCCAGAAGTGATGGCAGAGGGTTTCTTTAGGGGGCGTGGATTCTGCTCCTCCAGGCTCTGCCCCAGTTGCGGAAGCTGACTTCTGAGCAGCCTTCTTGCTGACCTCAGGGCTGTGTTGGCACTTCACGGCACAGGCTGGGCATCCCCCCCCCCCAGCCGGGCTTACCAGCACCCCTGCTGAAGGTGGGGACCTGCACATATTGGCTGTCTGGAGCTGTCCCCTAGGTATGGTGGGGGGATCCATCTGGGGGCCTGGCGGTGAGCAATCCTTTCCTGGAGCCTCGGGTGTGTGTGTGGCTTTGTGCCAGGCAGGTCTCAGATATATATATATATCCACCAGTCATCTCCTTATCCTGCTTCCCAGTAAAGCCTGTATGCACCAAAGACGAACACCACTGGCCAGTGGAATTGCTGGCCAGGTCACAGAAAAGTCTAGAATAAGGCTCACAGGCACTTTGTTCAGTTGTGGAACACGTGGAAACTTCATACAGCCCCCCTCCTTGCAGACCGGAGGATCTGAGAGCTTTCTGCTCTAATTTGGGCACACGCGCCCAGCCTTGGGCCCCAGAGGAAGCCTGTTCTACTCCCAGGGCCAGCGCTCAATTGCTTGGTAACTTGGCACCCACACTGTTCCAGGCTCTGGTCTCAGTTTCACTCTCTGCAAAATGAGAGGCTCCGAGTTCCGCTGACATGGCCTCGGGGCCGTTAAAACCTTTCTTCATGAAGACAGCCTGCACCCTTCCTGCTTTTGCTCCAGGTCCATCCTCAGAACCTTCCAGAAAGTCCTGGCACGTCAGATAACAGGGCCATCCAGGCAGTGACGCCCCCCCCCCCCCCCCCGGGCCCTTCCCTTACTCATAGAGCCTGCTCCAGACTCTCAGAGCCCACGCCCACTTGGTGAAGTCATTCGCCAACAATTCTCCGCACTGGACATTGAGAGGTTTCAGACCCCAGAAGTCTCAGGCACTGGGTCTGAAAGTGGGCAGAGCCCAGGTGACATTTGTGGAGACTCCCAGTATGGCCAGTAAGAACTGTGGTGACTTCACCAGAACCAATTCTGCTCCCACTCCAGAAGCTGAGAATATTCATAGAAATCATTTTGTTCAATCTTTCATATTAATGAAAAAACAAAAAAACAAAAAACAAAACTGAGGCCTAGGGAGGGGGGATGGAAATCACAGAAGGCTGGGTGACAGAGCTGACCTAGAACACTCGCTGCTCTCCTAAACTCCAAATAGGTGAGTCCTCTGTTTGCCCTTCCCCACATCTGTGTTCTTTTCCATACACCGAAGTCTCCATTTCCTTATTTGAAACCAGCGTTCCTTGGGAAGCCTGGGGCTTTATTGTTTCTTGGGTCTTGTTGTGGGTCGCGTTGTTTTGATTTCGGCAGCACCAACATTTATTAGGAACTCAACTATGTTCTAGTCACCACGCAAGATGCTGGAAATAATAGGGTTGGAAGAACATGAGATCGATCCTGCTTCCTTTCCCTGCTCCCACCCACCCCCAGAGGTCACAGTGTGCTGCGGAGGTGCATGGGTGCATGAAGAGTATGTTGCGGTGTGGGTTGCACAGGGACACATGCGTGTGCTGCGGGAGGGCCGGAACCGAGAAGGGAATGGATTCCTCTGCCTTGTGAGACCCACCGAAGGAATCACTGAGGAGACCAGGCCTGAATAACTAGGGGGATCAGACTGCAGGGAAGCAAAGGTATATTCTAGAATGCAGAGAGCTGGTGTCTAGTGTGCTGTGCACCCTGCGCGCCCAAGAAAAAGAAAGTAAAGTAAGAGCCCAGGCGTAGGTCTGTTCTGCATGGTGCGGGAGCGAGGGAACTGGGATCTGGGGAGGGGTGGTGTCAGGGATTTGGCCCCAGTCCTGTGGCACGTGCCGATCCCTGGCTTGCTCTGGTGGGATTTAGTGCTGCTCAGCCCGAGCGCGGGATCCAGAATTGTGATCTTCCAAGGGTTACGGGCGTTGCAGTGATAGCATGTGAGATAGGGTAGCTGCTTTGCTTTCCCTTTAAGAAAATAAAACTCAGTGCTTTATCTTTAATCCTTGTCCTTCTACTTGATCTCAGATTTGAATGGCTCCCTCGGTGGGGAGACGGGGTTAAAAGCCTGGCAGGCAGCTTGGGGTGTGGGAAGGGGGTGTGCACCGTGCCCAGGTTTTCAGGCACAGGATGGTGTGAGTTCGGGCAAGCCCTGCCTGCACTTGGGGGGCTGGGCTGAAGGGCAGGTGGGTGATTATCTCTGGACACAAGGTGAGGGGTTGCAGTCCTTGCACCTGCACAGGACTGTGTGGTTGGCAGGGGGGGGGGGGTGGATTGCAAGTAAAAACCTGAGCAGGAGGGTTAGATCGGTAAGTGCTGATGGCTGGAGGCAAGGTATCCAAACAGAGCATGTGGGAAATGGAAGAGTTGACTGAAAGGCAGAAAGTTCTAGAAAGCTCACGGAAAAACACTTGATGTGCAAGGCTGGTGTTA